AGAACCCCTAAGAAGAAATGAAAGAGTTGACATTATGTAGGTGTGTACATGCATGTATACAGACAGTGCACGTGCTCGTTATGTATATTGTGTAGCGTGCCTGGACAAACTCAGGTGGCCCAAACATATGTTTTCCATGCCTGTTACCGACCCCAAAACATGCCTTGTTTCTTCAGGGAAATTTATATTTAACAGTAACTAGCAAAAGCCCTGACAATAAAACAACGCTTAGTCACCAATGTGAGTTCTGAACTGAATATGAAACCCTTCATTTTGCCCTAGCTCATTTCCTAAGTACATGTAGACTGGAATACGAATTGATGAGCTAGTAGTTATATAAACAGTCGAAGAGTTATCTCAGAGACTCGATTACATCATTGTGCAGACAGAAGACGTAGCTCCAACACTGCAGGTGCGGCCTGTGTCAACATCAAGGTGTCACGCCACCACAAGACTGTTATGATGTTCACATTGGTGTTAAACCTGAATTCATTCTTGTGTCTCACTAACAATTACCTTCAGTCGCCTGTTCTCCTCCTTCACCTTCCTAATGTCCTCCTTAGCCTGGCGAACCTCGACCGTTGCCTGTTCAACCTCCTCCATTGCCTGGCGGTTCTCCCCCTTGAGTCGCCGGTTCGCCTCCCTGAGTCGCCGGTTCTCCTCCATTGCCTGCCGGTTCTCTTCCCTGAGTCGCCGGTTCTCCTCGCGGAGCTGGCGGAGCTCGGTCTCGACAAGCTGCCACACAACAAATGTAAGATGTCAGCCTATTGCAGTTATAATGCTTCACCTATGTATTCAAGGCGTATGTACATAGGAATAAGTGAGTGAATGAATGTACATTAAAATAACTAGAATATCACAGACTGATATGTAAAACTAGCATAGGAGTAAGACGGAGTAGGCATGTATAAAACTAGTTGAAGCAGACATATTAAACTACAACTATTTACTATTTACTCACATTCATTGGTGTCGCCCCCCGACGGCCTGGCACTGCTGATCGCCTCCGTGCTGCCGGTGTCGTCGTCATCGGGGTGGCGAATGGCGTCGAAGAGGTCGACGACATGCTGGATGTTGGCGTCTGGTCCGCATGCTGTTCGGACGCTTGGGGTGCCTGGGAGGTGCCCTGGGACGCTTGGGGTGCCTGGGAGGTGCCCTGGGACGCCGGAGGTGCCTGGGAGGTTCCCTGGGTCGCCGGAGGTGCCTGGGAGGTTCCCTGGGTCGCCGGAGGTGCCTGGGGTCCGGTCTGAGAGACCTGCGGGGCCAATCCGAGGGAATTGAAAAAAGAGAACATGATGAACAAATCAGTGGAAATAAGCGGTAGTAGTATAGAAGTATGAAGGTGTGCAGAGATCGTTAAACGAGATGCGCGATGCGACTGTGGAAGTATCCATGTTTTATACTCCAACCCGAAGGAGCATCCATTTGATTTCAAGGGGGTGGGGTTGGGGTGGTTCGGGTGGTGGAGGAGCTTGATTAAGGTTTGAGATTAGTTGATTTTACACAGACATTTGACTCCTCGATAATACAATACCCACTTTCTGTAAGAAAAAGGCATATAACTGTTTTAAATACAGCAGGGGATTGAGTCTCATATTAGAAAATCCCCCCCCCCCCCCCCCCCCCCCCTCCCCCGACAATAAGATGGTTGCTCCCACAGTCAAACCAGCAAGCACGTGCCCAGGGACTATTGGGGTGTTCAGTGACAAGCAACTGAAAGCGTGTACGTTGATTTATTCTCGTGAAGCTCAAGCATACAGCCATGTCGCAACCGCCTTGAAACAATGGGGAGACGTCACCAACCTCCCGGCCTATCTGACAATGTTACGCAACGAAGCTCTGGATGGACATGTCGAACGTGCTCTACTCGAGTGACAATCCTTGCACATTTCATGGGACATCAGCCAGACAATGGAAATCAACATCGTGTAAAAACATCCACACACAACATTTTACCAATAATATTATTTAATTTATAAGTTGATCATTCTTGATCATTATCCATGTTTCAACGTCCATTGTCCACACACTATCGCTGCAATATTCAGTCAGAATTGTTAGAATAGTTGTACTTTACAAGCTTTTCCTCATTGGCATGCATGTCATATAAATAAACTTTATCATCACATTACGGATTTCATTAAAGCACATTTTCAGAAATAACCTGATTGATACAAACTTCTTTATTTGATTTGACAGGGATCCTTACAAGCAACCACTTTAACTTGCAGGGGGGGGGGGGGGGGGGGGGGGGGGGGGCTGTGTGTGTGTGGGGGGGTAACCTATGGGATAAAGCATTCGCTCGGCCAGCCGAAGACCGGTTCCATTCCTCATATTGGTGGACCGCCTCCGTGGTCTAATGGTAGAGCGTCTGTCCGGAGGGCGGAAGGTCGTGGGTTCGATCCCAGGCGGGGTCATACCAAAAGGCGTTACAAGATGGTACTTGTTGTTACCTTGTCTGGCGCTCAGCATTAAGGTTGGTTGTTGGTTGGTTTGTTGTTTTACGCCGCACTCAGCAATATTCCAGCTATATGACGGCGGTCTGTAAATAATCGAGTCTGGACCAGACAATCCAGTGATTAATGTTATGAGCATCGATCCACGCCATTGGGATTGATGACATGCATCAACCAAGTCAGCGAGCCTGACCACCCGATCCCGTTAGTCGCCGTTTATGACAACCATAGTCACCTTTTACGGTAAGTATGAGTTGCTGAAGACCTATTCTACCCCGGAATCTTCATGGGCTTCAGCATTAAGGGGCTAAAACAGGGACTGGCCGTCTCTGAGTCAATACACTGTGTCTGAGTGTGGTATTCATGTTAAACGGAGGCATGGTAGCTCAGTAGGCTAGCACTATAAATTCGGCCTCAGTCCGGACTAACTAGTGGGCACGTCGCTATATGAGTACGACCCCATTTCACCTCACTTCCTCTTTATTTGTTTATTTTTAATACAATAACCTTTGAAAATATCGTTTTGTGAGTATAGTTGGTTGGTTGGTTGGTTGTTTAACGCCGCACTCAGCAATATTCCAGTTATATGACGGAGGTCTGTAAAAAATCGAGTCTGGACCAGACAATGCAGTGATTGATATCATGAGCATCGATCCAGGAAATTGGGATCGATGACATGCATCAACCAAGTCAGCGAGCCTGACCACCTGATCCCGTTAGTCGCCTTTTACGACAAGCATAGGCGCCTTTTAGGGCGAACATGGGTTGCTGAAGACCTATTCTTCCCTGGATCTTCACGGGTCCTGTGAGTATAGAGCCTTATCTTTTGACATATATTGAGAGATCTACCGCATGAATGTTACCACGAACTGTTCATAATTAAATGTCACATACATGTGTTTCACATGAACATTTGTGTTGTGTGTAGAGAATAGCGTAAATGGGTCGTTTAGCGTTATATAATTCAACATGTGAGTGAGTGAGTGAGTGAGTGAGTGAGTGAGTGAGTGAGTGAGTGAGTATGGTTTTACGCCGCTTTTAGCAATATTCCAGCAATATCACGGCGGGGGACACCAGAAATGGGCTTCACACATTGTACCCATGTCGGGAATCGTACCCGGGTCTTCGGCGTGACGAGCGAACGCTTTAACCACTAGGTTACCCGACCGCCCCTAATCCAACACGTGGCACACACACTGTTATCCTGTGTAATTCATACGTTTCTGTGTTTAGGAAATTTTCACGTAAGTCTCCCACTTTCATTGTGGACTGTCAGTAATCTGAACAGTCAAACCAGCTGCTGATAGAATGATGTACTACTACCGTAGCTACTGCTACTACACTACTACACCACCGCCACAACGACGACGTCCACCACCACGACTATTACTACTACAACAACCAGTATCATCACTACTACTACATCATCTGCCTCTACTACCCACCCGTGAAGATCCGGGGTGGAATAGGTCTTTAGCAACCCATGCTTGCCGTAGAAGGTGACTATGCTTGTCGTAAGAGATTTAACGTCGCTTTTAAGATTACAAAACTACTTAAATACCCACAACCTAAATGCTCTAAAACTAAACACAGCACCAAACAACTCTTTCATTCCCCAAATCGACATATCTCTCTCCACCAAACTAAATAAAGAAACCGACTCATTAATTGGGCTCCAGGCTATAAGAAACAAAAACACAAAAAAGGTCCAAAACTATTATACTTCACATACTTAAGAACTCCGTAAACTAGACAAAGACATTGAAATAGTTTGGTAACGAACATGCCGACAAAGCAGCTAAATCAGCACTTAAATTGGAAGAAGTAAGCATCAACATTCCAATCTATGAAAACGAAATTAAAAATACTACTAAATCAAAATGCAAACTAATATACATGCTACAAAAGCCACTCCAAAAAAAACCAAAATCTATCATAAAACCAAAAGAATCGACAAGGCAATAATCAAATTACAAACAGGTCACACTAAAGTACTGTCGGAAATGCTAGAAAACTGCTTTTCTGGCTTCATGTTATAAATACGAGCCATAGGACTATAAAAAGAGCATATATCAAAATAACATTTGTGGGTATTGATTTACAGTTTGAGATAATTTCAGCCAGCTGTTCGAAGTCTTAGTCTCTACCTATTTTCTTAAAGTATGGATGTCGTAGAACTAATCAATCATTCGAGGTTGTTTCTTACAGAATACTTCTCCAAAATATTTCTCATACATACTTTTCTCATTTACTTGATTTTTCTCATTTCAAGATTAAAATTCATTGAAACATAAGATATCGGTAGAAATCACCTTTTTTTAGCAAAATTTTGTTTCGATATCAAAAGGAGCAAAACAAGAAGACTTTTCCCGTTAAATGAGTATGTGGTGAGGAGTTACCTCCCCTCTTTTATTATCGTAACGTGCAAATGTACACATAGAACAATATCATCAAGCATGTGACTAACGTATGTGATTATTGAAACATTAACCAATATATGATTGTATCTTGCATTTTATTTTGTTGCTAAACCCTATTTACGACATTTCGTTACCAAAAACCGTCACGGTAACCGGAAGCACGTGTAGTTGTTGTTTTGGTGGATCGTGAGTGTTGTCAGAACAAAATATGCCACGACAAAGAAGGGCACTGACACAGAGGCAAGAGTCAGACGACGAGTTCGAAACTCCGGCATTCCGAGACATCGGAAAAGATGATGAGACGAAGGAAACCGAAGAAATTGACAGCGAAGAGGATCTGGTGGAAGCAGAAGAAGGTCTGTGTGACTTGTCCTACCTTCTGTAGTTAATGATGTAAAAATAAAACTAGAATTCTGAATTAGTGAACGTCGGCCTTTAATATCTTCTCACCCACACACGCTTACCAACATGTACAATGCCTGTGTGTCGGTAACCAGCTGACAACTCCATGACCCTTCCGTTTACTTTGTTCCGTTTAGTCAGGCCGAAGACCCGGGTTCGATTCCCGACATAGTTACAATGTGTGAAGCCCATTTCTGGTATCCCCCGCCGTGATATTCCTGGAATATTGCTAAAAGCGGCGTAAAAACATACTCACTCACTCACTCACCCACTGTTCCGTTTAGTGTTGTAATATGAGTTTAATGAATAACAAGATCCTTACTTATGTCGTAAAACACTTCCCCTGACACCGAGGAGAAACAACTTTTACAAATGCAAGTCTTAGTTAACATTATATTACCCTATTGATTCAAACACCGACAAGTGTAAGTGCATGTTTTTAGTGCTAATTACCTCCAGCTTCAGTGTAGGATCCCCTTTCCAATCAAGGACCCCCCAGAGCTCCAGATAAGCTGCGTATCTGCGTAAAATACGCATCAGAAATGCAAAAATATGCAGTAAAATGTAATCCAAGGGTATCAAATACGCAACAAACATTACAGATACGCTACAAAAATAAAACTTGTGCGTATCATCAAAATATTGTGAAGTAACCCTGCGTATTCGATTAGGAAATCAGCAACTTATTTTGAAATTATAAACGGGCATTCCGTCAACCTTGCCAAACTCCACATGACAGTTACATAATGATCATTTGCCATCACACTTTCTTGTGGAAGTATCGTGCCATTTTTTAGTCCTATAAAGCTATAAAGACACCAGTTTGCAGGGACTAGATGAATAGTGTTTTTAAATATTTAACTTAAATACCCACATGTGTAAAAACTAGTGCGTAACAGAAAATTGAATACCCAGATAGAATTACTGATACCCAATGATTTTAAAATGCATGGGTAAAATAACCACAACACCAAAAGCTTATCTGGAGCCCTGACCCCCTCATGATCCTTAGGGTTGCCAATTAAACAACTATTTACGATCCTTACGATCCTTATCTTTCCTCTTTAAATGAACTTGATTGTCATTGTTTACCAACGTTGTGGATTGTTGCTCATACTGGAATGTCTGGTCCAGACTAGATTATTTACATGCAGCCAACAAGTAGCTGGACTTTAGCTGAGTGTGGCTTTAAACAACAAACAAAGTATTGGTTGCAGTGTCCGCTGGAGAAGGTTCATCAGATGATGATGAGGACTTGGAATTAGCCCCTGATGATGTTGCCAGTGACGAGGATGACAGTGATGCTGCTCCTGAGGATGTGGGCTTCTCAGAGACCCGGGCAACAGCCCTTTCCCAGATGAGGCAGGCAATGACACAGATAAAAGAAGAAAAACTCCAGTTGAAAGCAAAGAGAAAACAGAGAGATGAAAAGTTTAAGGAACAAAAGGTAGGCTTGTCCGTTTATTGAGGTCAAGAAACTACATGAAGGATCTAACATTTCGATTTAGGCACAACATGCTGCAACCCTAAGTTGTTCCAGGATCTCTGATCAGATTCAGAGTGATTATGATCCCATGGGTGTCAGCTCTATTCTGTTGTGTGTGTAGCAGTGTGTGGAGTCATCCACAGATGACATCCTCACCTTGTCAACTTGCTGACGGGATTAACATCTTTGTATCTTAACCTCTTGTCATGTACACAAGATCAAGATTTGGTCATGTCCGACATCAGATCAGAAGGTCCATCGTTCGCATCCCATCAAGGGACTCGGACATGTGGCTGCTACACGTTTTTCCAAATTGGTGAAAATCTATGACCTGCATCTCTTTTGGTTGGAATATGGCTTGTCGAGGAGTGGACCGGAAGGTCATACTTGGTGACTTGTTGTTGATTTGCATGTCATCATACCCTGCTCACAATATCAACCACTGGTTTGTGTAGCCAAATTGAGATTATTTACAGCCTGCTGTCTTGTAATTGAACTATTGTGGAGTGCAGCATTAAGAACAAACGAAGAAAACACTTCAGGCATTCTGCAACCATTTTTGATGATCACACAGCTTTAAAGTGTAACCATGGTAACATAAGTAAGGTAGAGGTTCTGTAAAATGGTTAATTAATCAATCACCTCTGTGGCCTATTGGACAGAGCGTCAGTGGTTTGATCCCCGGTTGCATCAAACCATAAGACGTTAATAGATGGTTCATCTTGTTGCCCTGCCTGGCACTGGTGGACTCATAGTCTGAATACTGTCTTCATGGGGTATCCATGTAAAACTGACCCATGGTATCTCAGTTGGCTGGCACTATAAAATTATCCAGAACAACCAGCCACACACACACATGCATGCACACTGTTATATGGGGGCAATAAACTTGAACACACAGTAAAAACCCCATTTCACTTAACCCACCTGTTAAGTTTTTTTTAAAATCTGTTCCTGAACCAATATTTCTCTGACATTATGAGCTACTTTGAACTTTGTCAATTATACTACAAGGCAAAAAACAGGGTAACCATTCCATTGTCGATTCTGACAAATTTTGTTGTATTTATGTCCATGATTACGTTCTTTCTTAAAAGTAATTGAGCATAATGCATTTACAGTGTATATGTCCAATTTTCAGCCCTGTTACTTGTAATTCATATATTGTATTGTGATATATGTGATATATTAATAGATACGTATCTTTGTCATATCAATTTGGTGTCCCCCACCATAATAATTGTGGAATAATGCTAAAGGTGGTATAAAACAATACTCATTCACTCATTTCTTGTAATGTGTTGTTTAATAACATGGAGATTCCCACCTGAGTGTATTTTGATATCTGATATATCAACACTTATCTTTAAAACTTGAAAGCTCTACAGCTTGTGAGGAATTTTATTGGGTGAAATTCTGTTTATTATCCAAGGTCTTTCGACTAACATTTCCAGTTTGTAAACAGTGATAACCAGTGTAACAAGGTACAGCGTAACAGCTTCAACGGCAGAGATATTACTGATGGTATGATCTGCAACGCATTGTGATGTAATTTCATTGTAGCGATATCCCTTGATCTCCTCTAGGCGGTCGGGTAGCCGAGTGGTTAAAGCGTTCGCTCGTCACGCCGAAGACCCGGGTTCGATTCCCGCCATGGGTACAATGTGTGAAGCCCATTTCTGGTGTCCCCCGCTGTGATATTGCTGGAATATTGCTAAAAGCCGCGTAAAACCATATTCACTCACTCACTTTATACATATTGTTCATAATTCTTTGATATTCTTATTTCATAATCATCATTTTGATTAAAATCCATTAAAATGTTAACTCATGGTCGACCATCCACTGTATTACATCTCCATTCTGTTATGATGAATACCGCTAAAAATTACCATTTATTATTACAAAATCATTTGCGAAATTTGGAATCCAAGCCATATAACGGAGAGGGGCGTCAACATCGGCTCTATATGGTGTACCCATGTGGTGAATTGGTGTGACGAGTCAACGCTTTAACCTCGCTAGACAAACCCCGCCGCCAATGGCTTTGCCAGTTAGGATTACTTATATAAACAAATGTCAAATCAGGTAAGAAGTGTTGTATATTTCATGCAGGTGTTCACCAGAATAGTCACGTGATGTCATGGTTACGAGTTTAGCCAATCGGGGAACACTTCCGTTGCACGAGGTTTTCCTGCGCGTAATCCAGACTATTGATCGAAACATATGACGCTTACTTTATCAAATGCACCGGTGCATGTGAAATTAATTTCAACAAGCTGTTTAGAATTCCTTTAAAAATCGAGATTACAATGGGCTTAGACCCCTATTTGTCATGTTTATATTATTCACGCGTTACTTTGAACGCTGCGTTGAAAACTTTGGTATGTCATGTGCATTATGAAGCTTGATTTCCTGCCCTGCCGTATGTTTTCACTATGGCGAGTTTTAATTATGTAAACAAATAATCGTTATGGCTGTAACGATTCGCACATGATTCAAATTGACACTTCGAAAAAACACGAAGAAGGCTGAAGACCCGGGCTTGATTCCCTATATGGACACAATGTGCGAAGCCCATTTCTGGTGTCCCCGACGCGATATTGCTGGAATATTGCTAGAACCATACTCACTCCTCCATGAACGTCAAATACCTGAAAGGTGCAGGCGGCCAAACTGTACAGCGGAGAGCTTAGTGTCCGCTTTACAGCGGATGGCTTAGTGTCTGCTTTACAGCGGATGGCTTAGTGTCTGCTTTTCAGCGGATGGCTTAGTGACCGCTTTACAGCAGATGGCTTAGTGTCCGCTTTACAGCGGATGGCTAAGTGACCGCTTTACAGCAGATGGCTTAGTGACCACTTTACAGCAGATGGCTTAGTGTCTGCTTTACAGCGGATGGCTTAGTGACCGCTTTAGAGCGAATGGCTTAGTGACCGCTTTAGAGCGGATGGCTTAGTGTCCGCTTTACCGCGGATAGCTTAGTGTCCGCTTTACAGTGGATGGCTTCATGTCTGCTTTACAGCGGATGGCTTAGTGACCGCTTTACAGCGAATGACATAGTGACCGCTTTACAGCGGATGGCTTTGTGTCTGCTTTACAGTGGATGGCTTAGTGACCGCTTTACAGCGGATGGCTCAGTGACCGCTTCACAGCGGATGGCTTAGTGTCCGCTTTACAGCGAATGGCTTAGTGTCCGCTTTACAGCGGATGGCTTAGTGACCGCTTTACAGCGAATGACATAGTGTCTGCTTTACAGCGGATGGCTTTGTGTCTGCTTTACAGTGGATGGCTTAGTGACCGCTTTACAGCGGATGGCTCAGTGACCGCTTCACAGCGGATGGCTTAGTGTCCGCTTTACAGCGAATGGCTTAGTGTCCGCTTTACAGCGGATGGCTTAGTGACCGCTTTACAGCGAATGACATAGTGTCTGCTTTACAGCGGATGGCTTTGTGTCTGCTTTACAGCGGATGGCTTAGTGTCTGCTTTTCAGGGGATGGCTTAGTGACCGCTTTACAGCAGATGGCTTAGTGACCGCTTTACAGCGTATGGCTTAGTGTCTGCTTTTCAGCGGATGGCTAAGTGACCGCTTTACAGCGGATGGCTTAGTGTCCGATTTACAGCGGATGACAGCATGACATAGTGACCGCTTTACAGTGGATGGCTTAGTGACCGCTTTACAGCACATGGCTTACTGACCGCTTTACAGCAGATGGCTTAGTGTCTGCTTTACAGCGAATGGCTTTGTGTCTGCTTTTCAGCGGATGGCTTAGTGACCGCTTTACAGCGGATGGCTTAGTGACCGCTTTACAGCGCATGACATAGTGACCGCTTTATAGCGGATGGCTTAGTGTCTGCTTTACAGCAGATGGCTTAGTGACCGCTATACAGCAGATGGCTTAGTGACCGCTTTACAGCAGATGGCTTAGTGTCCGCTTTACAGCGGATGGCTAAGTGACCGCTTTAGAGCGGATGGCTTAGTGTCCGCTTTACAGCGGATGGCTTAGTGTCCGCTTTACAGCGGATGGCTTAGTGACCGCTTTACAGCGAATGACATAGTGACCGCTTTACAGCGGATGGCTTAGTGTCAGCTTTACAGCGAATGGCTTAGTGTCCGCTTTACAGCGGATGGCTTAGTGACCGCTTTACAGCGAATGACATAGTGACCGCTTTACAGCGGATGGCTTTGTGTCTGCTTTACAGTGGATGGCTTAGTGTCCGCTTTACAGTGGATGGCTTCATGTCTGCTTTACAGCGGATGGCTTAGTGACCGCTTTACAGCGAATGACATAGTGACCGCTTTACAGCGGATGGCTTAGTGTCAGCTTTACAGCGAATGGCTTAGTGTCCGCTTTACAGCGGATGGCTTAGTGACCGCTTTACAGCGAATGACATAGTGACCGCTTTACAGCGGATGGCTTTGTGTCTGCTTTACAGTGGATGGCTTAGTGTCCGCTTTACAGTGGATGGCTTAGTGACCGCTTTACAGCGGATGGCTCAGTGACCGCTTCACAGCGGATGGCTTAGTGTCCGCTTTACAGCGAATGGCTTAGTGTCCGCTTTACAGCGGATGGCTTAGTGACCGCTTTACAGTGAATGACATAGTGTCTGCTTTACAGCGGATGGCTTTGTGTCTGCTTTACAGTGGATGGCTTAGTGACCGCTTTACAGTGGATGGCTCAGTGATCGCTTTACAGGGGATGGCTTAGTGTCCGTTTTACAGCGATGGCTTAGTTTCCGCTTACAGCGGATGGCTTAGTGTCTGCTTTTCAGGGGATGGCTTAGTGACCGCTTTACAGCAGATGGCTTAGTGACCGCTTTACAGCGGATGGCTTAGTGTCTGCTTTTCAGCGGATGGCTAAGTGACCGCTTTACAGCGGATGGCTTAGTGTCCGCTTTACAGCGGATGACAGCATGACATAGTGACCGCTTTACAGTGGATGGCTTAGTGACCGCTTTACAGCAGATGGCTTACTGACCGCTTTACAGCAGATGGCTTAGTGTCTGCTTTACAGCGAATGGCTTTGTGTCTGCTTTTCAGCGGATGGCTTAGTGACCGCTTTACAGCGGATGGCTTAGTGACCGCTTTACAGCGGATGGCTTAGTGTCCGCTTTACAGCGGATGGCTTAGTGTCTGCTTTACAGCGAATGGCTTTGTGTCTGCTTTACAGCGAATGGCTTAGTGACCGCTTTACAGCGGATGGCTTAGTGTCCGCTTTACAGCGCATGGCTTAGTGTCTGCTTTACAGCGAATGCCTTATGTCTGCTTTACAGCGGATGGCTCAGTGTCCGCTTTACAGCGGATGGCTTAGTGACCGCTTTACAGCGAATGACATAGTGACCGCTTTACAGCAGATGGCTTAGTGTCTGCTTTACAGCGAATGGCTTTGTGTCCGCTTTACAGTGGATGGCTCAGTGACCGCTTCACAGCGGATGGCTTAGTGTCCGCTTTACAGCGGAGAGCTTAGTGTCCGCTTTTTAGCGGATGGCTTAGTGACCGCTTTACAGCGGATGGCTTAGTGACCGCTTTACAGCGGATGACATAGTGACCAATTTACAGCGGATGGCTTAGTGATCGCTTTACAGCGGATGGCTTAGTGACCGCTTTACAGCGGATGGCTTAGTGACCGCTTTACAGCGAATGACATAGTGACCGCTTTACAGCAGATGGCTTAGTGACCGCTTTACAGCGGATGGCTTAGTGACCGCTTTACAGCGAATGACATAGTGACCGCTTTACAGCGGATGGCTTATGTCTGCTTTACAGCGGATGGCTTAGTGACCACTTTACAGCGAATGACATAGTGACTGCTTTACAGCGGATGGCTTAGTGTCTGCTTTACAGCGGATGGCTTTGTGTCTGCTATACAGCGGATGGCTTAGTGACAGATTTGCAGCGGATGGCTCAGTGACCGCTTTACAGCGAATGACATAGTGACCGCTTTACAGCGGATGGCTTAGTGTCTGCTTTACAGCGAATGGCTTTGTGTCTGCTTTACAGCGGATGGCTTAGTGTCTGCTTTTCAGGGGATGGCTTAGTGACCGCTTTACAGCAGATGGCTTAGTGACCGCTATACAGCAGATGGCTTAGTGACCGCTTTACAGCAGATGGCTTAGTGATCGCTTTACAGCGGATGGCTAAGTGACCGCTTTAGAGCGGATGGCTCAGTGACCGCTTTACAGCGGATGGCTTAGTGTCCGTTTTACAGCGATGGCTTAGTGTCCGCTTTACAGCGGATGGCTTAGTGTCTGCTTTTCAGGGGATGGCTTAGTGTCGGCTTTACAGCGAATGGCTTTGTGTCCGCTTTACAGCGGATGGCTTAGTGACCGCTTTACAGCGGATGGCTCAGTGACTGCTTCACAGCGGATGGCTTAGTGTCCGCTTTACAGCGGAGAGCTTAGTGTCCGCTTAACAGCTGATGGCTTAGTGTCTGCTTTACAACGGATGGCTTAGTGACCGCTTCACAGCGGATGACATAGTGACCACTTTACAGCGGATGGCTTAGTGTCTGCTTTACAGCAGATGGCTTAGTGACCGCTTTACAGCGAATGACATAGTGTCTGCTTTACAGCGGATGGCTTTGTGTCTGCTTTACAGTGGATGGCTTAGTGAC